ATTGCAACAAATGTTCATTATTTACTCATACAAAAGACGTTTAATCGTATGAATGCGCGTTTAATCGTATAAATATACACTAAATAGTCCGATTATTTTTGTACATGTATATATAGTCGTCTGTGATGAAGTTTTTAATAGAATATCCAGCTTGAATAAATATATGGATAATAAAACTGTATTGGTTGGCACATAAAAAAAAAAACAAAAACAAAAAAAAAAAGTAATTGAATTTCTTTATGACTTAGATATTTTTAAAATTAACTTCGGCATACCGAAGACTGCGCGCTGGAGCTTGGATAGTGCGCTCCAGGTTCTATTAAACTGCAGACATAAATCGGTAATTAAATTAGTCGTCGTATTTTGAATTTTCAGTCGTCATTATGAACAAAACAAAAAAAAAAAAAAATTAACGTTACGTTCACAGAGTTAAAGGTCACTAAATATGTTAAAATCAGAGTCAATCATAAGCAGACACACCCACATGCTGCTTACTGTTGAATTTGATTTTGATCATCGAATCGAGTACAACCGATTCAACGATACGACTTTTTGGACTTATAAGTTCGTTTGATATCAATTAATTTTGTAGCTTTGGCTGGCAGCATATGAAAATTTTGAGCTAATTTATGATTTAATTGGTTTTCTTAACGTCTTTGCTATCGCCATCCTTGGCCTGGCCACGTCCCAAGATCTTGGCCAAACTATCCCATATACCACCGAAGAAGATAGCACAGCACAGGTTCTCCAATGGCAGGAAGGGATCGTGAATGCCCAGTAAGATAGAAGACAGTTTAAAGTACACCAAAAAGATAACAATGCCAAAGTAGACTAAGGCATGTGGCGCTGAGATCCAATCGGTCTTTTTATCCAGCACAAAGATAATGGAGGCCAGCAAAGACGCCTTTGTATAACTGAAAGCACGAAGCAACCCATAATGATATCATAAATAAAAAAACGAGATAGATTCACTTACAAGGATGGCTGCATAAATTCCATTGCTGTCGGTGTCCATGCACCTCTTATGAGACGCTCGATCAGCTTGGTGAAGCCGGCGCCATTTCCCTTCAGAGTGCCAATTATGATCATGATTATCCAGGCATTCGGATATAGTTTGGCCGCATGTCCCACTCCGTCGTAGACTTTCTTCGCCCGATAAATTTCCTTCATGGCACTGGCCACAATTTTCACAGGCAAAAACTTGGCCACTTTGTATCCAATGTCGAAGGGTGTATAAAAAACTATATACCTGCAAAAATAAGACATATATGAATGTATGTATATATTTATATGTGATGGCATTGGTAGCTAACCACACAGCTGTGCCCACGAGGAGTTGTCCGGTGTTTTTCAAGGGTGCTAAGATGGGTTCCCCGAGCAATCCGTTAGCCACCATGCCGCCCGCAAATATTACCAGCATTGTGGATAACCAACATGCCAGCGGATGTTTCCGCGAGAAGGCCTGAGCATTGGCGCCCAAATCCTCGCGCACGGCCAGCGCGGCAAGTAAACTGTGCGCGATATCAAAGAACGGAAACATTTTCAGCTTGATGACCTGATTGGCCACATCCAAAAACGCTTCCGGATCCATGATCACAGCTGATTTTGTATCCTGTCTTCACAGATGATATTCTCTATAAGGCGGAAAATGTGACAAGACAATGAGTATGATTTGTGGAGCAGTTTGTGGGATGCAAATGTGTGTATAAATGTGTGCCACACAAACCCTAAAGAAATATGTTCTTTTGAATTTGGTTCAGTTTTTAAAGTTTACATTTTGCTATTGTTTTTATTATTAAATATTATGTTTTTTTCAGAGTTATATAATTAGAGGCAACTTCAAGCAACAATTTGCAATGAGCAATTGAATAGAAAATGGCAAAAATGCCCACATACATATGTAAGAAAATATGAAGATGTACACATATACATATGTATGTATGTATATATATATGCATGTATATACGTATACATATATATATATATAAGTGTCCTGCAAACACCAACCAAAATGTAAG